ATTATTGAAAAACGAATAGCTTTTGAAACGAAAGTTGATAATTCACTAAAGAAGAACTTTAAATAAGTTAATCTAACAACTTTAATCTTAAATTTAAATGGAGAACAAATTAAAAAGTTAATATAAAATATATTCAAATTGACTTGACAAATATTAAACTGATCAAGAGATTAAGAATAATAACACAATAAAAATTAGTCTATGTCAAATGACTTAATTTATGTCACTCTCAATAATATCTTTGAGTAAGAGCCCATTGTAAGTCAGCTCTTTGTACCAGTATTGAAGCCAATTCTTGATTTCTTTGCTGTATTTCTCTCCTTGGCTTTCTTCCCCACTTTTCAACTATTGTCAAGGCTGTTGTACATAAAAAATACAACAATTGAACAATTCATTTTCGGTAATTGCACAACTTGACTGCAATTTTGAGCAGCAACTGTAATTACGGCTAAAACGGTTTTTTTTTGCAGGCTTTAATTGTTGCCTGTTTGTTTTGTTTGGCCTGTTCTTCATTTAGCTGCGGTTGCTCTTGTTATTGCTGTTTTTTGTTGCTGCTGCTCAAGGGCTCTCAGAGACCTAGTTTTCTAAACTGCTGACTGCAATTGATTGTATTCTAAATGTATATGCTGTTAATTTAAGCCATTTATTAATGAGTTCGCAACACAAATGCATTAATTATGCATTTTTCGGTTATTTGGTTATGCCAAATTATTTATTGCTAAAATGCATTAAATTGAGAGGCTTATTTATCAGCTGCTCGATGCCATTAACTGACAAATTTCGCTAATTGCATTTCGTTAATAAAGTACGACAACAACAAAAATAATATGCACAACAAATTTATTGCTATGTTACATAAATTACCAGTCCGCATTCCCACCTTCCCTCTTCTATTTTGTTTATGCAGCAAATGCAATCTAATTGCAACATACATTTACAAAATTAATGGAATGCAGTCATTCGACAACTGTCTGCGTATGCCCCATAAATATGCATCAATGAATGCCAGAGCCAATGCTTTCTCCTTCTCCCATTGCTCCCCGCCCACTGATGCCATTGAACCAAAAATTTGAATCCTCTTTGGTGATGTTCCTTTCAATGATTTTACTCGCGTTATAATTTAAATGGACTTTTGCGAAAAGCAATTAAATAAAATTAAATTTTGTGTTGAGCTTAATCCGGCTCTGAGCTGCATGCATAGTTCATGTTATCCCCTGTCGGATAACGCCTTCACAATGATCACCTTCCACACTCACACACACACATCTACACCTACACCTACATACCCCATTGGAGCCGCATCATGTGGCAAAGTGCGTGCCAAGCCGCCGCATCCACTCGACAGGCTCTAGCAGTCAACACCTCCATGGTCAGCTGGCATACAAGTAGAGCAAGTGGACAGCCTGAACACCAGCACAAACGTCTACCCAGAGGGCTGACTGTCAGTCAGTGGTTGGAGTAGCTGATATGGACAGCTGAACGTGCTTTTATATGGCATTTTTCATATGAATATGAATTGCTTGTGGTTGTGTTAAGTGGCAGAGTTCATTAATGTGTATTTGAGTGTGTGTGTTTGTGAGTATTTCATGCCGAATTGCCAACAGTTACAAATACAAATATATATATATATATCCACATATATATACTCGAATATTACGGCAAGTTTATTATATGCACGCACTTTCAGATTGAGCGAATATTTTGTTGCTGGCCATGAAAAAATATACAATTGCCATATGCAAATTGATGAGAAAAATGTGAAGAGACTGTATGCAAATTGATAAGAAAAATGTGAAGAGACTGTATGCAAAATAAGCGCACAAAGAGAATAACTTGATTTCAAAGATATGCATAATTCTATAGAGCGAAAAGCATTCTTGATTTCTGATTAAAATTGCTAAGATATACATATACATGTATATAAATTAACCAAGTTTAAATTGGTGCATAATAAGTAGCTGCTCAAGCAGATACTAAATACCTATAATATTAAATCAGTTCATTGCGAATAAAGATAAATATACAAATTTCTACTTTTCCAAACTTCACTTCAAAAAGCAATTTAAAATAAAAAATTCACCTGAATTCTATGTAAATTAATTTGTTTGTAAATTGAATGCCAGGGACTGTGGGTTATCGGAATGTTTTACTCTTTTGCGGCTTAACAACATTGCTCATATTGAAAAATATGTTTTATGTTTGCCTTTGAAAAGCAATTCAAAGAGTAGAGAAGATCCATAAGCTGTAATTTCCATTTGACAAGCTGAAATGGAACCAACTTTTACAAGGCCTAACGTTTGTTACCTTCGAAAAAATAAATAATTAAAACACATGCGCCGTATTCAATTTTTGAAATAAATTTGTTTATTATTGTTGCTTGATGTCTTTTCCATTTGGTTTTCATTTTTTTTATCTGTTTCTCTTTCGTTTATTTACTGCTTGTATTTGTGTCGCATAATTTGCAACTGCTTTGCGATTATTTCAAATAAGTTTTCACTTACAAACTAAATAATGGGCCATGTTTACATAAAATTAACAAAAACTTTCGCTTAATTTACGTTTTCCATTTTGCTTGTCTTTATATAATTTGGTACCATATTAAAGTAATAATTGCAAAAGTGGATTTGTAGGAACACAAAATCTTATACTACTTAAGTATTTTATCAGAATTATCAGTATTTTCTTTATTACTTGCTGTAAATTTTTGCCAAAAGAGGAAACTAAACTAATAAATAAATGACTAGATGCATAGGTAAAAATGCATTAAAATGTACAATTAAAAATGCAAATGTAAATGTATTTATGTATTAATGTTTGAAATATTTGAATACCCTTGAAATGTTGTTTAATTTTGAATCGACGATAAATTGGGTACACAATTTGCAGTATTCTACACATTCGGACGAAAGTGGTATTCGTTTTTAATACTATATCACTAGATCCTGTAATCAGCCGCCATAGGAGCTATTTTCTGGTTATGGGTATGTCTGTAAGGGTATTCAATCTTCGATAGCCCGAAGTAAGATGTTTTTTGTTGGTTTTGTTAATGGAGTTAAAAATTGGGTAGCTTTGCAAGAATGTAAAATTTGTTATGTACGAGTGAAAGTTCTTGTTTGTGTTCTGAAAGTGTTTTTACTTTGATTTAATTAAGTTAAAAATTGCGAATAACTTTTTGCAGCAGCAAATGCTGCTGCTGCTGCTGCTGCACTTATCTTATTACCAAAACTTAAAGCAAAAAAAAAATTAACTTGTGTTTTGTTTAATTTTACAATGGCTCATTTTCTTTGTTCTCTCGTTTTACTGTTATGTTTAGTAATTAAAATGCTAGTAAATATTTGTTCGTATTTAATATCTCAAATGTGTTTTTGTTTTTGTATAGCTTTGCTTGCATTTAAATTCTTCTCTGACTGTTTTGAAACGTGTATTTTTATCTTCGCGCATTTAATTTATTGGCAATTGTAAATACAATGCATATATGTATGTATATATATATATATACTATTCATATATTAAGAAGTGTATGTATGTATTTATATATGTACAACATATTATTTATTCATGTTTGTGTGCGTGTGTTAAGGTCTGTGTTTGTTATTTGCTGTTGGTTTTTTCCCAATTTTTTTTTTTATATGTTCGCATGGACTTTGTGTATGTGCCACGCCCACACCGCCAACAGTCAATCAACAATAAGCTGCTATATATTTTGTTGTTTCTTTTGTTTTTTAATGGTATGCCATTAAATAATTTCATTAAATGCTTTGTGCGAGACATGAACACGGCATAAAAAAGCTCGTTAGTTGTTTTATTTTTTCGAATTCAGACAGTTTCTTCATTTAATTGACAAGCAACATTAATTTCCAAAGCAGCATAAAAACAATTAAAATTATCGGAAATAAGTAAATAAATATTGTTTTAAATATATTTAAAAAAAAGAGTTGGCATAATAAATTACACTATTTTATTAATATAATAAAGAGGCAAATAAATTAGTTTACTTCAATTAAATAATGTGTTTGCCTTCCATTAATCAATTGTAAAACGTCATATTGCTTGTTTGAATTTATATTGCAGCTAACAACTAGTTTCTACATTTAAAAATGGAAATTAATTTTAAAAAGTATATTTCAAAATACAGCATTACAGTTAAGAATGACTAAACCGTTAAACTCTCTCTCTGCATCTCTCTCTCTTTCTTTTGTTTAAATGCAAATTGGGCTTACGAGTTTGTCGCTCGTTTCCCATTGGTTCGCTTCGGTTCGGTTCGGTTCGATGTTGTATCATGTTTGCGGTTCGTAGGCTTAATTGTTTACAACGGCAGCATCATGCCAGCGTCATTATCGCGTTGCCGTGGCACGTTGGTGTGTATGTATATGTATATGTATATGTGTGTTGTGTGTGTGTTTCTGATTTACTTTAAAATTATTTTTCATTCGTTGAGTGTCATCTATTAATAATAATATTTTCATCATTATTATTATTTTTTCATCGCAGTTGCTCTGATGGGTTTCATTGTTGGCTATTTATTTATTTTCTTTTTCCGCAGCTGTTTTGGATTTTTTTTCTCTTTTGTTCTTTTCGCTTATTGTTTTAATTGTTTGATTTTTATCATACAATTTCCTTACATGCTAATTAATTTGCCTGGCCGGCTGGCTAACTGTCTCTGGGTTCGTAGTTTGTAGTTTGCAGACCCATTTTTTAAAGCGGATCCCAGCGAGTATTTTAAATGTGTGTTTAGTTCTCTTGGCTGACTTGGATATTAGTTGCTCTCTCTCTCTCTATTTCTGTCTCTGTCTCTGACTCAAACCTTAAGCTTTATTTCATCTATTCAATGTTGTGCTGTAAAAAAACGTATGTTTTCAGTTGCTTGTATTTTGTTCTCTTCTGTGTTGACATACTTTTTGCATAGCAAATAAAATGTTCTTGTGGTTTATTGAACAAAGTGTATTTTATTTAATTTTTTGTTTATGTTTCGTTTTCCAATTGGTAATTTATGTGTATTATAATTAATGCTTTAATAATTTAATATATAGTCTTGTATGTACAAATGCCTATGTTTAATTAATTTTCATTTATATATTTATACAAGGTAATAAATTATCGAACCTCTTGTTAGAATATCAATTGTGTAGGTTTTATAGTTTTCATTATTCTTTTTTTATGTACAAGTAAATCAATTAATTCAAACAACTAAAAGTATCAGTCTGTGCCACTGCCCCAAAATGTATGCTATGCTTTCTTCTCTTCTCTTCCTCCTCTCATTTTTCTTATTAATTATACGGTTTTCGATTTTCGCTTTGCATTTAATATAAATTTTAGTTTAAGTGTTTGCGGTTAGTTTGCCTGGCCGATAAATTCACTGGTTTAGTGGCATGGTTACGCCCACAGGTCGTGCAACGGCTTGGTGGCGCCACCATCATCCAGCTCATTCAGACTCAGATTGGATTCATAGTGCGTCAACTCCGGCAGTCGACTGTTGTTGCTGCTGCTACTCATTGTGCCGCTGCTCTGTGTGGCACTGCCACTCTCCAACCCCCCGCAGCCACAGAGCAGCTCATCGTCGGCGTTGCAGTTGCACGGTTTCTTGCAGTTGTACGCACCCGCACTGACCGCGGGCGCCACAAAGTTCGAGCTGAACGAGCTAGCCAACACCGGAGCCTGCCCCTTCACCAGCCGCTTGGCGGTGCCAATGCATTCACAATTGTTGCCACTTGCCCCTCGCAGCGGCTGCTTAGCATAGTCAACGCTGTCGTAGGCAGGCGCCTGTCCAGCTGCCAAATACGCTGGCACCGCATACTCGTGCTGGCTGCGTCGATGTTGCTGTTGTAGCTGCAACTGTTGCTGCTGTTGCTGTTGCTGCTGCTGCTGTTGCTGTGGATTGTGGTGGTGCTGATGCTCCAGGGTCTTGGCCATGCCTGCTACGCTCAGTTCGCGCTGTTTCTTGGTCAGCTGATTCATGGTGTTAAATTTGCAGGCGGCTGCGGCAGCTGCTGCCGTTGTCGGTATTGGTTTGTAGCCCCCCCTTGCCACACCCGCCCCGCTGCCGCACTCATTGATCGTTGCATAGTTGTTGCTGCTGCCACAGTCCGCATACAGCTTGTCAGCGATGCGTGCAGCAGCTGCAACGGGCACTGGGACGCCTGCAACGCTGCCCGCCTGAAACTCATGTGCCGTTGCATACATATTCACCGAGGAGCTGCGTGCCGCCAGACAGCCCGTGACACGCTTGTTATTGTTGCCCCGTCCATGGGGCAGAGGCAGTGCGAGTCGCAGCTTCTGCCAGAACTTCTTGTCATCCCACTCGATACATGTGCTCGTCCGCAGATAGTGTCGCATATCCAAATCGATATCCCGTTGTGGCAAGTCACCGTACAGGATGAAGACGACACGTCTCCGCCGCTTCACCAGCTCGTGGAGCGCACTCTTGTACTCGAAACGCGTCCACTCGTTGTACAGGAAATTCTTGGAGAGCACCAGGACAAACTGCTTAGCACTCTCAGCAGCCTCAATCAGAGCATCCGTAATATATGCATTGATGTTGACATCGCGATAATGCAGACACAGGCGATAGCCAATGTCACTCTCGAGGGTATTGGCCAGAATCTGATTGACAAAGTGCTCGTCCTGCAGACTGTAGGCAAAGTAGGCATCATTCGGTCGCTCCTTGTCCAGCTGGTCTACGAATCGCGGCGAACGATAGCAGAAGGTGGTCAACAGGCAGCTGCTGGAATGCGCCCACATCTTCAACTCATGGCGATAGCAGAAGAGTCCAAAGATGAGCCCAAAGAAGCCGACAAAGGCACAAGTGGCAACCAGAAGCAGTGGAAGCAATCCCTCAATCTCATTGGTGTGCATATAGTGGGCAACGCCATCGCGCAGGGTGCACTTCGTCCCGTTCTTCTCGCGCAGCACACTGGTCGCATTGTTGTAGATGCAACTGACCCGCGCCGCATCCACAATTTTCTCCGAGCTCTGAGCCAGATAGTTGCGAAACCTGGACAAATAGCCACACTCGCAGCTCCATTGATTATCCGCCAGACTGATCTCGACTAGGTAGGGATTCGCGGCCAGCTGCCAAACTTCAAAGTGCAGCAGGCGATTCCCATCGAGTCGGAGCACTTCCAGTTTTCGCAGCACCTGGAAACTGCCATTGGCAATGCTCGCAATGCGATTCGATTGTAGGTAAAGCTCCCGCAGATTCTCCAGATTGTGGAACTCATTGCCCTCCAGTGCGACAATGTGATTATCCTCAAGGTGCAGCACAAGTAGACGCTTCAATCCACTAAACGTCGTGTTGTAAATATGTGCCACATTCGAATTGTTCGCATAGAGCACGGCCAGATTCTTCCGGCCGAGAAATGAATGACCCGCCAGTTCCACAAAATTGTTACCATCGATATAGAGCTCGGTGGTGTCCATGGGGACACGACGTGGCATCTCCGAGTAGCCGGCACCGGAGCACTCCACAATGTTAGTCGACCAGGTCTGGTCGTGGAAGCAGGTGCAATTGGTGGGACAGGTCATCTCACAGTCGCAGGCATCGAATTCGCAGCAATGACAGACGGCAAAGCAGTGCGTCTTGTAGGTGCACAGGAAGTGCTTTGGCTCCGCCTCCAGCAGTGGAATATAGGCCCGCTCCCGATTGTTGAGCAGCTTGCAGTAGATTGTCTCCAGATCCATGATGCGTGGATATTGACGCGACGTGATGTGATTGATCTTCTGCAGCCAGTCAATGTTGCAGTCACAGGTGAAGGGATTCCCCCCAATATAGAATTCGGGCAGTGCCCGATGCTCCGGCACAGGCAATATGCGCAAAGACTTTATGTCCAAGGTGGTTATTTGATTGGCATAAAGATCTACTCGGGTCAGGTTCAGCTTGTGCATGAATGTGTCTGGATCCACAGTTGTGATCAGATTGTCGTTGAGGAAGAGCAGCTCAATGGAGTTCGGTATAGAGGCGGCTGAGATGCGTTGCAGCTGATTGAAGCTAACATCGAGAGTTTGCAGTCGCAGTTCGGCATCTAGGCCAAAGCGATTCGACAGCAGACCCAAGCGATTCTTGTGCAGATCGAGCCATTGCAGGGTGCTCGGCACATGGCCATAATCGAAGCTTTCCAGCCGATTATCGGAGATATTCAGCCAGAGCAGCGAAGGCATATTACTAAAGAGTCCATTAATCTCCGCCAGATCGTTGCCATCGAGGCGAATGGCCTGAATGCTGGAGGTCATCTCGAAGGCACCGGGTTCGACGACAGCTATGCGATTCCTCGCCAGATTCAGTATCTGCAGGCTGGGCAGATCTCGAAATGTGTGCATCGTTATATTCTCCAGATAGTTGCCAATCAGACGCAGTCCATACAAATTGCCCAATCCCTTGAATGCATTCTCCTCGAGCACGGCAATCATGTTCTCCCCCAGATCTACGGTGCGCAACAGGCGCATATTCCTCAGTGCCAATGGCACCGTCTTCAGCTGATTTCCATTCAGATTGAGATCCTGCAGAGCGCTGCAGTTCCTAAACGCCTCAGGATGAACACCAATCAGCGCATTATTGTCCAGCGAGAGCAGCGAGAGCACATAGAGTCCATTGAGAGCATATGCATCCAGATACTTGAGCTTGTTGTGCGAGAGGAGCAGAGTATGGAGATTATTCATCGGAGCAAAGGTGTCCGCAGCAATGTTCTCCAGTTGATTGTGGCGCAAATTGAGAATCTGTAGCGTGTACAAATCGCGAAAGATTTCCGGTTCCAGTTTGGTCAACTTGTTGTGGGAAAGATTCAGCAGCACAAGTCGAATGAGACCCACAAATGTTGCGATCTGTCCACGTGGAGGTGATTTGATTGAAGGACAGATCTAATGCCTGCAGCTGGTCCAGATTGGAGAAGAGCTGCGGACTCAGCACACTGATGGAGTTGTTCTGCAGATAGACCTCCTGGATGGTTTTCGACTGCTCCGCAAACAATTCGGAGGGCAAAGCAACGATCTTATTGGAACTGAGATTGAGCACCTGCAGATTCTTTAGGCCACTCAATGCCCGGTCCGCAATCATTGAGATCTCATTGTTGTTCACATGGAGCACACGCAGGCGACGTAATGTGCCAAACCCATTGGCGGGCAACAGCACAAAATGATTGAAACTGACGTCGAGCAGCTCCAAGTCCAGACTGCAGGAGCTAATCGAACGCCTGCCCGCCTCCGTAGTGGAACCAGAGCTGGAACTGGAGCTGGACTCTGTGGAGGTGGGTGACTCCTTGCTGCGATCCCTGAAGCCCAACTCGTTGACGTCCTGCAGCCGGTTCTCACTCATATTCAGAGCAGACAGCGCGGATAACGCACAGAATATATTATCGGGCAACGACCAAATGTTGTTCGAGCTCAAATCTAATCTCTCCAGCTGCCTGGTAACCGCAAACGCATCCGCCTCGATCTCAAAGTTGAGCGCTGGCCACAGGATATTGTGGGTGCGCAGGGTGAGATTTCGCAGCTGCTCCAAGCCATCCAGCACCTGACGTTCCCAGTTTGCCCAGTTTGCAGTATTGAATGGTCAGCTGTTGGAGTCGGGCCAAATGGGCAAAGGATTGCGCCTCGAGGCGACTCTTAGCCATAATCTCGTCGTTGCACAAGATGTGCAGGGCGATTGTGTGCTCGGCGGGGATCACACTAAAATTTGTCGTATCGAATTCACTGTTCACCGTTCGCAGATTGCAGGTCAGCGCAATTTCCGGCTGTTCCAGGCCCGCAGCGGGCATGAAATGGCAGTCGTCGGGCGCATCGTACAGGGCCGCATCTCCGCCAGAAATGGGGCGCAGGGTGCGTGGCGGCGTCTGTGGCTGCAACAGCTGTGTGTGGGAAACTCCAGCCTCGCCCATGATGGCATTGGAGTGCGATTGCTGCTGCTGCTGCTGATGATGCTTGCTGCTCGACACGGACACGGACTCCGAGGAAGAGGATGAGGAGGAGGAAGAATGTGTGGCATCCGGACTGCTGCTAACGCTGCAGCTGCCTCGTGCAACCAAGAGTTGCAACAGCAGCAGGCGTAAGAGGCACATTGGATTCAACTGCATTTTCATATTTCTATATTTATCTGAGGATGGTTGAATCCTCTTCTTTTTGGAGGTGGTGGGGAGGAGGGTAAGGGATTTTTATTAAAACGAACGAAACCAAAAATAATTGGTAGAATGAAATGAGAATCAATTCCACTTGCTGTTGGCCAACAACAGGATGACTGCGCACATTTTTTCTTTTTTTTTTTCTCCGCTGTTTCCGCTCGGCCTTTTGCACACAGTACAGTTAATTATAATTGGCGTTGCCAAAACTGAACAAACTTGGTTTACTTTACATTCTTTGCACTTTCGTGTTACGCTTCGGATTCGATTTGTTGCTCGTTCGTGTTTAACTCGCGACTGGTTTTGTTGAGTGTAGGAACCTTGTGTGAATTTTAATTGCTGCCCATACGCGACACACGAAAAAACGTTCTAATATCACTGAATTTTTGATTTTTTTTTTGATGTATTTTATTGGTAACGGTTCACGTTTGTGTGTGTTGCATGCGTACGTGCGTGCGGCTCCTTTTCGGTATGTGTGGCGCGCACGTTGGCTGAGTGTCGACTGACTGCCGCAACGTGCGCAACTCTCATTTAAATAGAGAGACGGGCAGCGAAACACGCAACGAGCATCGAGCGAGCCGAAAGGGAAATTTTCCGACAAGCGAGAAAACACACACACACACACACACACATTGTCGCTCTCTCTCTCTCTCTCTCTCTCTCTCTCGCAGCGGGAGCGCAAGCCTTAAAGGAAATTTGCTCCGCTTCAGTGGGTTCTCTGCCAGAGATTGCTTAAATAGAGAGAGCGAGAGAGAGGAAAGAGAGAGAATGGACTGTCGCTTAGAAGGTTTCTAATCGCATCAAACAGCTGGCGTCCCTTTTTTTGCTGTGCTGGTCCCTTTTTGCGGCACACCTCCTTGCGCATCCTTGCAGCCTCGCATCCTTTAGCGAGTCGTGGCCGTAACGAGAGCCCAGTCGAGGCGAGGCGAGGCGAGTCCCAGACTTCGACTTTGTCTCTGTTTTGATAATGAAAATATATGATGTGCAGGCCAGCGCCAATCTTCATACAAATGTAATTTATTTTTATATACGCATGTGTGTGTCTGTGTGTGTGTATTTCCACTCTCTGCCTGTCTCTGCTGGGTGCGTATGTGTGTGTGTTTGTGTTTGTTTGTGTTTGTTTGTGTGTGTGTGTGTGGACATATAAAAGTAATAATTCCTTACATTCCATTAAATTACAATAATAATTTTAATTAAACTGTTTTATTTGCGCTTGAGGTAACATTCATTCTCTCGGCTCTCTTGGCTTGATGACTTTCTTTTCATGCAGAAATTATCGCTCGTTCTCAACATTCATCATCATCGTCATTTGCATCGTTATCGTGGCCTGTTGTCATTGCCCTTATGAAAATTTCTAAATTGGGCTGAGCAAATGATTCTTTTTTCTTTGCTTGTGTGTTGGGATAGGCTCAAAAATCAATATGCTGCAGTTTTTGGTTTATGGCTGTGAAAGATGACGAGGACGATGATGATGATGAAAGGGGGCATCAAAACAGGAAGTTGGCAAACAAGGATGTGCCGTTAGGCAGTTGGCCATAAACGGGTCAAGCATTTTGCACTGCACATTAAGAAAAAGCTGTTGTGGGAAAGTTTCTTTCTTAAACCATATGAGACATATATTTAATATTATATTCTCTTATCTGTGATTTACTTATAGCGAATTCTGTTGGGAGTTCTACTAAAAACAAAGGATCTATCTAGATAGAACATTTTGTTTCACTTTTCCCACACTTTCCTATCAGCATCTTTTAGTTAATGCATTTTCGCCAGTTCGCAGCATCTGTGGAGTTAAGGATCTCATCTCAGTTGAGCTCCTCAACACCTGTATGTGAGCATCCTGCGTGTGTTTGGTCAACACAAATCTGAGAGCACTCTTATCAAGATGCAGCAGCTAGTTAAAAGAAAAAGCATCTTTTCAGCGCATTTTTGCTATCTTTACAGAAATCGGTCTAAGAAATGCGCTAAAATGCAAAGCCTTCATAGGAGCCATATCTACGATGAGAAAGGCCTAAAGCAGAGAGGAGAGAGGAGGGATGAGGATGAGGGTGGGTTTGTATATTCTCAGAGTAGTGCATCCGCTCTCAGGCAAGCCGATTTGCTGGTCCTCTAATGCAAAAGCCAATTGTCATGCACAATTCAAAATTGTCAGGCACAAATAAGATGTGAAAGGGAAGGCCAAGGTAAACACTTGCGGATGTAAAAGATTATGGTCGTAAGCAGATAGAAGAGTGAAGAATGAGGAGTGCAGAGTGATAGGGATGCATTCGAGGTGGTCCGGCATTCAGTTGTCTTCATTTATATTTGCTTTAAGAGGACATTTTATGATGTTCTTGGCAATTTATCCTGCAAGGAGTCGATTTTTTCTGCTGCATTGAGGAAATAAGAAATTTGTTTGTCTGTTTGACTGTCTCGCTGGAATGTCCTTATGAAGCTGCATTGTGCAAAAAATACAAAAAAAGAAGAAAGGAATAGTGTCCTTTTGGAACGGAAGCAGGAAACAGGACTCGCCCGGTATGTAGGTAAAGATGTCAAGTCACCCAGTTGAAGTCTGGCCTTGTCTTCCACATATATCTATATATAATGCCTATTGATTTTTGTCTTCTGATTGTTTACATTTTGGCGTATTTTGACAACTAAATCGCCAGACTGCCAGGCAGCCAACTTTTGTAGACGGGGCCCACCCAGTAGAACCCGAACCCGAACCAGAACCAGCACCAGACTCAGACTCATGCCTGTACTTTATAAATTAAATGTCAGCCGTACAGTTATTGACCATTTGACTTGACACATGGCTCGTTTTCCGGTCGCATTTCCTCTCCGCTCCGCTCCGCTCTGCACTTCTTTTCTCTTCTCCGCTTTTTGTATAACCCACAAAACTGTGGCCAGTTCTGCGGCATATCGCCGTGAAGGTCGTTTAAGCAATTACTCCGTACGGATGATATCAGCTGCAGTCCAAGGATCCGCCATCATCCACAGCTAGCGATGTTTGTACAAGTGTGTGTGTGTTTGTGAGTGCGTGTGTGCGTGTGTGTGTGTGTGTGCGTCCTTGACTTGTGCAATTTTCCCCGGCACTTGCTTCGACCATTAGCTACTCGTAATTGATGAAAGTTGCCGTTGGATGAGTCAAATATTGATAAATTATGATGCATTTGACAACAATTATTTTTCAGTGCAAATTTCCATTTGTTTATACTGAAAGGAGTTAAGTTATTGCAATGACTATATAAATATAGATTTATGGATTTTTGCTACAAGGGTAAATACTGTTCTATAGATGGAGTCTCTGTTTTGTAAATAAAGTTGGTGATCTTTAAGTATACATCTTATATTTTACTTTAATATTATAGCTTCGTATCATTGATCAACAAAAATGGGGAAACAAATATTGAAATTTTCCAGTCTCGGCTGTACAGCTTTGCTGTCGTCTGCCTTATTATAACATATTTTTGATTATGTTAATTGATCTATATGAGTTACCACAATTATTTTAAGAAACACTTATGCTATATATGTGTTTCTTAATTTCATATAAAATAATAGTTACAAAGACATCCCCCAATTTTCTCTCTAATTGTTAAATTTGTATATTAAATAGTATTATAAATTACAACATTGCTTGTTTAGAATCCGTCTGAGAAGAATTATTGGATGGGGTAAATATTTTAATGCAACATATTTTAGCCTTACATTTTCAATTCTACAAGTCGAATTACAAATGTAAAGCTAAAATATGTTTTGTTGTTTATTTACGCAATTACATTCCTCTCTCGTGTAATTCTTCGTGTAATTCTTCGTCTACGCATTGGCCCATTAGCATTCTCAATTTGCTATTTATTTTTCGAGTCTATTTCGAGTTGAGCTTGGGCTGTCTAACTAGGTAAAGCCGGGGCTGTGCGTTGAAGCTTTAGTTTGCTGCTAATGAGCAATTCATGTCAATTGCTAATTAGTGCGCTGAAGATTTCTATCTGCCTTGGCTGACTTATCGTGCCATTTTTATAACCCAAACGCAAACGTAAACGCAAACAGAGAAAGCCGACACTGAAAGTGGGCCCAAAACACAATGGCCAAGAAATTAGCAAGCCCGGCAAAGATAAGTCAATTAGGTTTGGCTTTATAGCTGCCAATGTCGACCAAAACAAAAGCCCAAACACACAAACAGGCGGGCAGACCTGCAGGGAAGAGCGGGGGAGAGCTTTGGCAAAAAAAGAAAAGCAAATCAAATAAAATGAGGCCAAATAAAGGCAACAATTAATAAACGCAAACACACAGAGCGAATAGAAAGAAAAGCAGAAACTGAGCCGGACGCTGCGTATCTGTATCTCTGTCTCTGTATCGCTGCTGCTTAAGGACATTCCGTGAAGACCAGCAAGAGGGCTGCTCGAGTCGAGTCAGCTCGACTACGAGTTACCCTAAGCTCAGCTGATAAATATATACTAGTTCTATTAGCAAATTTCAAATGTAAGCTGTGTGGAAATGCTCTCATTTCTAATGGCAATGATAGCAATGCTATCATTGATAGCAATGAGAATAGTTGAGTGTTTCTTAACCGATATTAATTAAATTTGTACAGTTAATTAAAGATATGTCAATGTATTTGATATGCTAATAAAAGGCCACGGCCTTTAAAAAGTCGGCTTTTTTATTATTATCGGAAATCGATATATATAAATATATATCGATATTCGCGAAACGAAGCCAGCTATCGATTAAATAAAATAAACTTGATTTGCGTGGGTTATTCGAGAACTAAAATTCTAGACTTGAAGCCTCTAGCTTGAATAGTCACTGAGATCCATGTGCTCATACATATATAGGTATATCGACTCTGCTGATCTAGAATATATATGATTTTCTGAGGTTGGAGTTGCTGCCTTCTGCATGTTACATACGCTTGCTCAAAACCAATATACCCTTTTTACACAATTTTAATGGGTTCAGGGTATAAAAAAAAGACAGTGTGTGTGTGTGGTGGGGGGGGGGGGGCTCTGGACTGAACACTCGGTAGTGTGCAGTGTGGAGTGTCCTGACGTGTATGGGCAATTTAAGCTGGCATTGGACAAGCAACTGACAGGCTGCCATTCCGTCTGGGTGGTTGGTTGGGTGTTGGCTGCATGGTTGGGTGGGTGGTTGGGTGGGTGGGTGGTGATGGAGGTGCCTGCCACGTTTGTCGCTTAATGCCCCCAGAGAGACGCAATTGTTACATTTAATTGTGATTTTTGTCTTTGTGCTAAAGCAGCTTTCAGCCTTGCCTTCAGTTCTCCAGCCTTTTAGCCTTGTCGACCCCCAACCGTAAAATATGCAGCGTTTTTCTCTCAGTGTAAGCGCTCGCCTTGAGTGAAAGTAATCCGAAATGCTGTCATTACGAAACACTGCGTAGTTTCTCTACAGAGACTCAGACCTGGACTCCAAATTGCAGATGGAGATGGAACAAAGTCTACGCACAATTAAGATTG